GCCCGGCCCCGGGCCCGCGGCGCCGCCGCGGACGGGCGAGCCGCCGCCGTCCTCGTCGTCGCTGGTGGCGAAGAGGACCGCGTCATCCTCCATCCCGCGCTCCCCTGCGGCCGCCGCCGCGGCCGGGCCCGGCCCGGGGCCGCCTGCTGGGGCGCGCGTCGGGCGGCGTGGCGCGAGACAGGGCGCGCGCGGCGTGGCGGCGTCAGTCGGCCGTATGGGGAGGATAGGCACTTGGCAAGCACAAGTTTCCTGGCAAAAAGCTGAGCCAGTTGCCTTGCAGCATCGTGTAAAAAAATTGCCTCCAACGGACTGAGCTGATCCTCCACAACACATGCGAGCACATACACACACACACACGCACGCACACACACACACACACACACACACGCACGCACACACGCACACAACGTCTCCCTCACTCTCCGCCCCCCTCTCTCTGTCTCTCTGCTCCCAATCTCAGCAGTGCAGCGCCCCTACCTTCATGCCCCAGCAAGCTCCAGCCGCTTTCGGCAGCCTGCGCGCCCCCGCCCTCGTGCCCCGCCGCTGCAGATGGCTCCTGCCCGGCGCCGCCCACGCGCCCGCCCTCGCCCGCGCCCGCGGTGCCAGCCCCTGCTCCTTCGTCACCGCCGCCGCCCGCATCGCTAATGTCCATGTTCTGCATCGCGGCCGCGAGCATGGTGCCGTAGCCGCCCCCGCCATACTCGCCGCCGCCGCCGCCGCCGGCGCCGCCAGCAGCGCCATCGCCCTCGCCGGCAGCGCCGCCCATGCCGCCCCTTGGGCTGCCGCTGCCGCCGCCGCCGCCCGCCTCGTCGTCTTCTTCATCGTCGTTGTCGTCCAGCACGCCGTATCGGTGGTACAGCGCCGGCTGCATGCCCTGCATCTGCTCCAGGTCCATGTCGTTCTGGCAGAGTGGGAGCAGACAGGGGCGATGTGTGTGTGGGGAGGGGGTGTGGGGTGTGGCAGGCCAGGCCGGGTAAGGCGCAAGATGGGGGCAGCCACTGAGCCACGTGCGCTGCAGTACACCAAGAAGGCGGACTGCGAGGAGAGGCCGTGCACCTTAAGCAAAATCCACTAGTTCTCTCGCGCCCACGGCTCCCAGCTACCTACCGCTCGGGCCCTCCGCCGCGCCTCCGGCCAGGGAAAACCCGCGTGGCGCCGACCGCCGCACAGCCCTCCCTCCCCCGCAGAAGCCACCGCGCCCTAGACCGCGCCCGCCCCCACCTGGAAGTCGTCGCCGTCGCTGCCGAGCTCCGCCATATCCGTGCTCGCCGGCCGCCCGCACTCCCAATTGCTCAGGTCCTCCACCTCGTTGCGCCGCCGCAGCTCGCCGCCCGCGAACGCCAGCCACGCCTCGTCGCCCACCAGCGCGTCAGCGACGGCCTGCTTCTGCGCCGCCGCCTCCGCCACGAGGTTAGCAATCTGTGTGACGTGCCCGAGGTAGCCCGCACGCAGCGGGCCCTTGGGCGGCGGCCCCGACGGCCGCGGCTGCGGCAGCACCTCGGACGGCAGCCCGCTGAGCCACGCGACGAGCCGGCACGCGCCAAACGTGTGCGCGACCATCGGCGGGCTGGCGCGCGCGACGACGCCCTCGAGCATGCTGAAAACCTGGTGGTGCAGCAGGTTGTTGAAGGGGTACTGCGCAAACAGCTGCAGCACCAGGCCCATTGCGTTGGCCGCGATGAGCGCGCCCTCCACGCCCTCGTCGCCGACGTGCAGCAGCACCGCCAGCAGCTCCACGACCTTGAGCCGCGCGCGGCCTAGCGGCGGCGCCAGCAGGCCGTAGGGCGCCTCCTGCGTCTGGCCCGCGTCCTGAGAAGACAGGAACGACACAAGCTGCGGGAGGTATGCAAGCATGGCGCCCATCGCCTCGATCCGCGGCTGTGCCGCCAGCGCGCCGCCGCTGCTGCGACCGCCGCCGCTGCTGGGCCCGCCCTCACCGCCGCCGCCGGGCCCGTCGCCGCCGCCGAACGCCGCGCCGCAGTCCCCGCCCCCGCCGCTGGCCGTTGGCGAGCCGCCGGCGCCGTCGTCCGGGCCGGGCCCGCGGCGCGGCCGCAGCAGCGCGCTGCACACCTCCAGCGCCGGCACGATCACCTGACCGCCAGGCTCTAGAGCGCGCCTGAACAACGACGAGATCGACGCCGGCTGCATCAGCTTGGTCGACAGCGCGCTCGGCTGCGTGTGCGCAATCGCCGTGAGCACATCGGCTGCGTTGGTCACCGCGTCCCCCGGCCACCCCGGCCCCAGCCGCTCCAGCAGCATGTCGAGCAGCGGCGTCTCCACCAGCCACTGCGTGTGCATTGGCATGAACACCATCGCGCTCTGCTCGTCGGCGCCAGCGAGCCGCTTGATGACGTCAGCGATCGACGTCACGTCGAGGTGGCGCACCATCTTGCCCAGCAGCTCGTCGTGGTTTGACAGGTACTGCATCATCTCGTTGGGCTTGCGCACCAGCAGCTGCCCAACGACGCGGCCGAAGTAGCCAGCGGCCTTGCAGCTGAGCGGCGGCTCGGCGTCCACCAGCGAGAAGAGCAGGCCGAGCAGCGCCTCGTCCTCGAGCAGCGTGTTGAACACCGCCTCCACCTCGCAGCAGAACACCTCGCACGCGGTGAAAGGGTACCTGGCGAGCCGGCCGGGGCGTCGGCGGGGTTTGGGGGGCGGGCGGTGGGGCGCGCCGCGGGCGCGCGGGGTCCTCGCACGCGTGCATGACTGCGGCACCGTCACACGCGCACTTGCAGTGGCTCCTGAATTACCGCTGCTCGCTGTCAGTGTCAAGCCAAAGAGTGTGTGTGGCAGCTGCGCCACCAAGTCAAGCCGCTCTGCACACATGCAGCCCACAACGGCGAGGCCGCCGCTGCTGGCAATTACCCAGGCCCATCCCACAGCCCTCACTTGTACTGCTTTTTGGGGTCATCTGGGTCGCTCGGCGGCTGCACCAAGTATCTGCACACACAAGATTTGCAGGCAGCAACGGCACACAGTCAGCCACGGCGTCAGCTGCTGCGCTCTGTGCACAGAGGGGCCCCACTGCGGCACGAGAGTGACGCCAGCGGCCGCCCCATGCGGCTGACTATGCCATAGCTTGTGCGAGCCGCGTGCAGCTGCCGGCCCGCAGCTGCCTGCCGCTGCATCATTGCAGCGACATGCGGCCAGCGCCCGCCCAGGATGGCACGCCTCATGGGACGCACCGTAGCAACTGCTCCACCGCTGCCTTTTCTCTCAAGCTGCGGCCAGAGTGTGCGACAGTCGCAAGAGAGGGCGGGATGGAGCTCCTTCTGAACACAGCAGCTCGAGACCAAGCGCACACACCGGCGCACAGCCGGCGCTCATGCACGCAGCGCGCCCGCTCGTGTGTGCCTCGACAACACAGGGCGCTGCAGCGCGTCACTGCTGCTCACAACGCGATCAGCCTCCCGTTCAGGGACTTGCACTCCTGGATGATATCGTCTTCATCCAACAGCTCCTCTAGCGTGTACTCCTCCTTGTCAAGAATTTGCTGCACACATCAGGTGCAGCAGAAAAGCCCAGATCAGCCGTGCACAGTGCAGGTGACCTTCTCATCCAACTGATACCAAACATACAACCTCCCACGTAACTCCCTATCGGAGGTGCCAGCGCGGGACAGCAAAAATGCCCACCTCGATCGGCGAGGGCTGCGCGAAGCCAGCCACTCTCCAGAAAGCCATGTGAGTGTCAGTCCACCAAAACCAAGCGCTGCAAGCTCAGCCAAGCGGGCCACACACGATCTACAGTGTTGCGCTTCAATCGTAAGCTCACTCCACCCGTTCAAAAGCCCCTGTCTGAGCTTACAAGCAACACAAGTGTCATATGCTCATGGTGCTTGTCGCTTGCATGACAAGCCACTCGTGGTTAGCGCGGGTACGACGCACGGCAGGTGGTGGGAAGCCAGCCTTGGGTCTTGGGGAAATGTAGGCATGCGCCAGCACTCAAGCTTGACGCTCTACGGCTTGATGATCTACCTTTACTAGACATAGCAAACGCACTTGTCAGTGTCGCTTGCTCTCGCTTCCCCGCGAAACCTTGCCCGAATCGACGGCCGACAGACGGAGGCCTCAGAGCTGGGCAGCAACAAGTGATACAAACTCATCGAGGCACGCGCAGTCTATCTGCAACCATCTGCTGCAGGCCGTGCAGGAGCGTTGCGTGAGCATCAAGCAGCGGCGGCAGGACCAGCGCGCCAGGTGCGCCGGCCGGCAACCGGCACGATGGCGGAACCCATGGACACAGGCGAGGCGTCGGGGGCAGAGACGTACACTGGCACCACATTTGCCATTGAGGAGGAGGATCACACACTTGCCAACAGCCTGCGGTTCTTCCTCAACAAGAAGTGAGTTGGAATGCGCCACGGCTGCGGCGTCCCGTTCGCCCCAAAAAGCACCCACTTATGATGGCGTGATAGTCATTCAAGTTGCCGGTGGGCTTGGAGCTTATCTCAGCTACAACCATCACTGCGTCGTATCCTTTTGCAGCCCCCACGTCGCGTTTTGCGGGTACAGCATACCGCACCCTACGGAGCACGTTGTCAACCTGCGGGTGCAGACCACAGGTGAGGGTGGTAGCGAACACCGCTGGCCACAAAGAGGGGCTTTGAGATCAGCCACCTCTGTTGTTGTTCGCAACAGCTGTTACGCAGTCTGGTGCAGTTTTTGCAAGGAGATGGTAGCTCGCGGGTTCTGTTGCACCGCACAAGCCCAGCAACGGCTTGAGCAGGTGCAGGGACCCTTCAGTTGCCTCACGTCGCCTGGTCTTCTCCTGCTGCTTCTCGTCTCACGTGTCTACCCGCTCTCAGGGGAAGTCACCGCAGCTGCTGCAGTGCGTGCGGCCTGCGGGGACCTCAAGCAGGTCTGCGCACACATAGACGGGGTGTTTGACGCCGCGGTGGCGGAATTCAACGCACTGCCGCCGCAGCCCGCACGCAAGTAATGAGCCTGAAGTCTATAGGCCTTGGTGGCGGTGCACATGTGCGCCCTTTGTTTTCTGCAAGTATCACTGCCCACTTTGCCGTCACCTGTTCTCCTGCAGTGATTGCGTCCAGCCTTTCGTCACTGGCACGGATATGCGCCCTGTGGGGCTCACGTCATGCTTGGTATGCCTGACATTCCCGTACCATTGTTGGTTGCAAATGCTGTGAGGCTTTTCTTTACTCCTGTGCGTATTGTATCCACCACAAAGGGAGTGCACTTTTGTATTCACCACACTGCACGACACCACTCATCACTATACCTTGCACCTTGCAAGCAGTAAGTGGGAAACCCTGACAAAAGCAGCCAGAGGGGAGCATGGTTGCGGCTCGCCTGAGATTGGGTGAGAGGGGGCAGCAATCCCAGGCAACAGGTTTTCTATTGATTGAAGTTGTTAAGGCAGCAACACTCTTGAGTAAATGGGCGCGTACATGGCCTAGCAGCACACAGCACAACTGTCCAGGTTACAATTCAAACAGCAGCCCAACTTTGCTAGCCAGGCATGGCTCATTCCCAGGCACAGCTCGGTCTTCCACGCTATGCCTGACTGTGGGACATTCAGCATAATTCGTACGCTCATGGCTCCCTTCCAAATGCTCAAGGGCTCAATGCACAGAGTGCTGCACATGGAGCGTCACCAATTGACTTGGTCATACATTGGCGCAGCAGCAAGGGCCGCACGGAGGAGAGGGGAGCCCTGCTCATCCAAAGTATCAGAGTGCACGAAACTATAGAAGTGCACAAGGAAAACAACATCGGCTCGCCCTCAGCACATGAATTGCACAAGCAACGCAGACAAAAACGGTCACAGCCGCTTCGCCTTCCGCCGGTCAATGCGGGTGCCGGTGCACAAACTAGCGGCCCGCGCCAACAACGCCCTCTTTTATTTAGGCCTTTACAGGCTAGTCGCACCTCCTTTGATCTGGCTGCGCAGCAGCGATGGCGAAGTCGGGTCTGGCCGCAGGCCTGAACAAGGGGCATGTGGTCACTCCTCGCACCACTGCCCTGCGTCCCTCTAGGCGGAAGGGGGTGAGTGTTGGTTCGCGCGGCGGCCAGCGTCTTGCCTCTGAGCTCGAGGTGGCTTTGTCCGCGTGCTGTAGGCCAACGAGTGTCATTTTTATGACCTCGATTTCTTGGCTTGCTCCGTGCGTGCCCACAGTACCTGGGCAAGAAGGTGAAGGAGGTGAGGGAAATCATCCGTGATGTGGCGGGCCTGGCCCCCTACGAGAAGCGCGTGGTTGAGCTGCTCAAGGTCGGCAAGGACAAGCGCGCCCTGAAGGTGGCCAAGAAGAAGGTGGGGGATGCGGCAACAGCGGCGCGCGACGCAGCAGCATCGGCGGCTGCACCCTGCGCCATGCATGCGACGTGCATCGCGCACAAGCACCGCAGTGGCTAACAGTAGAGGAGGGTGCTGCGCTGAGCATGGGATTGACGAAGGTGGTCGTGTGGACCCGCACGTGCTGTCACCCGTGCTGCTGTTGTGCAACTCATGAAATCCGGCGCTTGCGCCTCCCTTTCTGCGCAGCTGGGCACGCACCTGCGCGGCAAGCGGAAGAGGGAGGAGCTGGCCAGCTACATGCGCAAGCAGCAGAAGAAGGAGGCTGCTGAGCAGAAGGCCGCGGGCCACAAGTAGGCGGCCGCGTCTGGTCTGTTGTGTAACCCACTGGTCAAGAATGGCGGGCTCACTTCACGGGCGGTGCTGTTGGCTCGTCGCTCACATCGAGTGTGATGCAACAGGCAGTGGTGGCTAAACCTGCGCGCCGCGGCAGTGGCGCTGTGCTCCCTGTTCAGATGGCTTTCGGCGCAGGCGGAACGCAGTGATGACAGATGCGTCATCCATAGTTGTGGCAAGCATCAGCGGACGTGAACAGGGCGCGGCGCAATGTCAATGTGACAACAGCAGCAGGCAGCATCAGTCAAGTAGCGACCCAAGGCTCAGAACCAGGTGTTTGATTGCAGCTGTGTCAATCAGGGATTTGGAGGGCAAACGCCAGTGTTGTCTAGGAGTTTGCAGCGAGTGCTCGGCGGTTGCTTCTGCTCCATGCAGGTTGCACGCTGTGCAACCCGTGATTACAGGGTCAGGCTGTGGCGGCGGGGCGCATGATGGCGGTCCAGTGGCGATGTGTTGACCAGGATCGCACGGTGTGCGTGCCAGAGCATCAGGGGGGGGTCTTCCTTCAGAAGCATGTCGTGCAGTGTTGCGTCTGCTGGCAACAAGAAGCCTGCCTCCTGCAATACTTGCCCAAGCCCATGCCCCCCTTACATCTGCCTCTCGTGCCCTGGCGGGCCATGAGTTTGTAGCCAGACGCCCCAGCCACCCTTGGTGCTTGCCAGCCAGCGCAGTATAGTACACCGGGCAGATAGGTGTCAAGCGCAAGGGAGCAGCATGCAACATTCTTGCTGCTTACAGGCATTGCTCGCTTGTTCAGTTGCTGTAGAACGAGAGGCTTGATAAACGCAGCAGCGCACGTCTAGGCTGTTCACCAACGGCACCCAAGATATTAGTGTTGTGCATTTGGCATGTAGATTCTCGTGTACAGCTTCCTTTCAGCCAAGCCAATGTCCAATGAGCCCTTTGCAGCACCAAGCTACACAGACGTTGACTAGCTGAGCTTTGGGCCGCATCGACCATCACGTGGCCCTGGGGAAAGCTGCAATGGCACGGCCTGCGCGGCGAACGGGGACCTCTCACTCGGGCCACAATGATCTCTTACAACGCCTGAGCAAGTGGAATTGCCTTCGCGGCCAGGAAGCGGCCAGTATGTGCTGTCATGGATGACGAGCCTGTTCCGGTACTTTACGTGGCCGCAGCTCGATCACTCCTCCTCATCAGTATGATCATCAGAAACAGTCATAAACAGTTCAACCCTCGCAGCCGAGTTCTGCGGTAGCTTCCTGCATGGCAACTTGATTTTTGAAGACCACGCCCTCCGCCGTGTCAACTCTAGCCCAGGCACAGTCTTGACGGTGGAATTACCAACGAAATTTCAAGCAGTGACACTCGGGTCCGACATGGATGCAAAGGTCCCCAACGTGCCGGCCGTGCAGCACGAGCGGCCTGCCAAGCCGGTGACGCAACCTGCCAAAACCGCGACGTCCGCCGGCCCTCCTGAGGCGCAGATGGTCCAGGAGCTGTTGTTTGATGGATGTGTCCTTCCCCCGCGCAGCATTCTTGGTCAGCTGGTGCGCGCCACGGCTCGCGCCACCGCATCATGGCTGCTGCCAGCTCTCGGCCTGCGGCGGACGCCCACGAATGTTGGGTGCCTGATGGTTCGCGCCGCCTCAGGCTGCGACTCGGTCGCGCCCAAGGTGAGCAGAACCGCGTTGCCACGCCCTTGCTGCGAGCGCCTCGCGTCCGCGGGCCCGTCGCATCGACATTCGTGCGCGGGTTTGCTGGTGTGTCGCATCGGCACGCACTGCACGCGCTGCAAGCGCATGCGGGAGGCCCACATCGCAGGTTTGGGGCCCGCCAGAGTCATGACAAAAGTAATTGCGGCCGCGCGCGGGGCACTCGCCCGTGCCGCTCCAGTGGCGACATCTGCCCTGCATTGAGATCCCCACCCCCTCCCCTCGCGCCCACAC